ATAAAAGCCAAGCCAGTGATCTGAGGGGCAGGAGCGGCCCTGGTGCCGTGACGGATAGCCACTCGTTCGGAAAGCGTGAGATGCCCTGCCTACGAGCCCACCCGTCCTGGGGTCAAGGCTTCTGCCCATAGCTCAGCATTCTTGTGTTAACATTTGAAGCGCCACCTGCCGTTCTAAAGTAATAAAACAATAAGAAATCCAGTTACTCCTTTTAAGCGATTTGAATTGATGAATCCCGGGTTGAAGACAGCGGTAGTGACTCGCGGGGCCCTCTAATTGCTCATATACTCCCTTCACCCATTTCCCAGATATCGAGGTCGGTAGGTGGTCTTACGAATCGATGGGATGGAACCGTCGCTATCAGCTTGCCTTAGAATTCAAAAAATATAACTGTGGAGAAATGAGGTAGTTCGGCGGCAAAAGGCGATGTCTACCACTCGCATGGTTTGGCATTCGTCATCCTTCCAGCGTGGGTTAGTTGGCACAGTTCTCGTCTTGGAGGATAACATGTTCAGCAGTGACTAGTTCCCGGTCATAGCATGAGTCCGAGTGCCTTCGAGAGCTCTTTGAGTGGTAGTCATGGCATGGCGCATTCTGAAACGGCTATGACCGGCTGCAGATGTCTTATCTTTTTACCCCTTCCTACCTGATTTCCACTGGTTGATAAGCTATTTCGTATTTTGTTCCTTGTTATCAAAAATTGCAAATGAAAGTGAAAAAGAAGAAGTGAACTTCCGTGATTCCTTCTTCTGCATACATTCCCACTTATGCTGTCGAGAAACTACAGTATACTGACAGATTTCTATGTTTTTCCAGTTTTATTTCTATACTCCAAAAACATAACCAATTTCAGAATAATGGGAAATCAACTTCAAAATAACGAAAATGCTGGAAAAATCATATCAGGACACCGGAAAATCGTTCCGTTTTGTTTTGATTTGCTGTAGGTTTCTCTTCAGCACTTTTCTTCAGCCTTTCGTCACCATACGGCAGCGAGAAGAACTATCGTCAGCAGCGCAATGGAGCTGATGAACGCTGCTGGACTGAAATTGATTTGATTTGGTTTAATCTCAGAAGACCGTTCTTTAATGGAAGCTCCATCCTTATACAAAATCTCTATGTTACCCCTCCCTCGAGAAGGTTTCGAGCCATGAACGGGGCAACCGGCTTCTTGGTCACTCGAGAGTGCGCGGAAATGAGAC